TTCAATTTTTCTTGATACTTTGTTGTAGAATTCTAAGAAGAAATGATCGTTATTTTCCGAAAATATACCGGTCTGCATTCACCTCCTCTAATGCTCACAAACACATCAACATCTTCTTCTGTATCCTCATTTGGCCTTGTCACTAACTCCATACGCCACCATAGTACCGTACCGTACCGTTTTAGTAATAACGACGACTGATACATTGTATACATTGTATGTATGTATTTCTGGCTATCATAGACTGCATTTGTATGGTTCCACTCCAGTTTTGCTCACTTTCCTCATTCTCTAAAAACTGCTGATGAACAACTGGTATCAACCGACCAAGATCCCATCTTGTCTTGACAATTTGATCGTTTTTCTTCATTGGCCACGTTTATATCGTATGGATAATTGGTACTTATGTTTAAAGGTGATCTGACCTTAGTTAACGCATATTTTCACTATATATCTTTAGTTGACTAACGTTTTTGTTTTGATTTGATCATTATTATGAGGACAGGTGTGAAACTCAACTAAATAATGAATAATACCTTTCAGTAAGATTAAAAATCAGCTGAAATTGTTGTTTTGAACAATCATAAGACAACTGACATTTGCACTCGACTCAAGTCAAAGCTATACAGAAGAAGACCAAAGTGTAAACACCATCTTGGTCATCATACTATTTCAGTCTGGTATGCAACAGATTTCGGTACCAAACCAAGCTGGTAACTTTACCAATAACATCGATTAAAGACAGGAAGGCTCCTTCATTACTTTGTTTTTGGGTTTTTTGATATTGGATCGATGAACCATAGCATGCCCATCATCATACCATAAATGAGCATGATCTATACATTCAGCTTAGTCAAATGAAAATGAAGACAAAGGAGATGGATGTTTTAATTTAGATACAGCATGCTTGTTAGTCTAAAATAATAAGTATTTCAATAGGTATTTGAGGTAACAAATTTTGAGCCATCGAACATCAAAGACAGCATCGAAGCTTTCGCATCTGATATAGTTGGCTGATCTGTTCTTTCGATTTCAGTACGCCACTGGCGTTTGTTGGAACAGGGCTACCCACTTGAATGGACCGCCACAATAACACGACATAAAAGGGAGCATTGTTCCTCTTATCCCTGTGCTCTTTCCCTTTGGAAGGGAATGGGAGGGCGGTCCGTAGTCAGTATGTTACATTTGTATTCACAAAGGCAGCCACAGCCGATTATACTAGCGGTCACAAATTGTCTACATGTCATAATTTCCTGGAATATGCGTCTCGGGACCTAGCTGTGATAAACTAGCCGAGAAAAATGCCTAATACTCATAGAACTCTTCTTTCCATTGGCTGATGATGGGCTTATATAAGCTGAAACATGTTCCACTTAATCAGATTATAGAATTTGTGCCTTCTTCTACAATCTCCATCTTTTAACTCTGAGTTACCAGAGATATATTTAAAACATTTTAAGATATCAATTAAGTAGGTACTCCATATCAACAATTTGTTGGAAGCAACTTCATATCCAGTACACAGCTTCGCGGACGATAGTACCCTCCATACCGCCTTCTCTTCCAGGGCTCCAATACCAGCCAGGCAAATCAGAAACGAACGAGGAAGAAATGTTGACAACATAAATATGGACTTGGCAACAATTCTCGAATGGGGATCCAATAACTTGGTAGATGTCAATGCAAACAAAACACAAGCATGCCTTTTTTCTAGAAAAGCCGATCTCACTGTGCCCAACATAAGCTTGTCGGGAGTAATCATACATTTGAAGACATCCATTCCGATGCTTGGTATTACTATCAGCAATAACCTTTCGTGAGAAAATCACGTGAGATCAATTGCTAAAAGTGCATCCTAAAAACTTGTTTTTTTGTTTCGGGCCAGGAGCTATTTCACTTCCAGTCAGCTGCTCATGATCTATAAGGCACAGATCCGACCTGTTCTGGAATACTGATCCCATATTTGGAGTGCACAGCACCCAAACATATACCCTGAAACTGTTAGATTCTGTTCAAAAGAGGGCAATTCGTCTCGTGGGTGATGCCTCGCTCACAAACTCACTCACTTCTCTGGAACACCGTAGAAAAGTTGGCGATCTGGCTTCATTTTATAGATATTTCCATGGACGATGCTCTTCTGAAATATCAACAATTGTTCCTTCCTTGGCAGTCCCCGCGAGATTAACCCGTCGAGTTGAGGCTTCGCACCCATTCGTAGTCACTTTGGAGACCATGCAGAACATCTCTTTCCAAAGACTCGTTCATTCAACGAACAGCGAGGCTCTGGAGCACATTGTCAATTTCTACCTTATTTCCCTTGGTTCTCACGATGTTCTCTGAACATTACAGGATATCTCTTTTCATGGGAACCAGAACAAAAACTCTCATGGCCTTTCATCAATGATATCGTGTATTCTTGAAGCAATACTCATGTTTCTCATTCCTATATGTCTTAGTTGATTCCAAAATTGATGCTATGAATATTCCAATGAGCCAGTTGGATCGTGTGTTTTTCATCTCCCATTCCTTTCATCGATGAAAATTATTGGCTATCAAATAGTAACCAAATGGTCTGCACATGGACATTCGAAGAAAAGCAACGGTCTGAAGAAGACTCCCTTTTGTACTTCCTAGTACCGTACTTACGATGATTTATGTATTAGCGGAGCCCCATAAAACGCGCTCATCTCGAGTGGACGCGCATTCGAGAAAAAGGAAAAATGAAAAATTATGTGGAATCAGTCAAATAAAAATTTGACATTTATACATTCGAGCTCTTTGACCGTACCCGCCTATAACCTACGAAAATCTTAACACCTGAATATATAAAAATATAAAATATTTATAAAGTCGTAAAACACATATTAAAAATAATATTTATATATCTGAAAAAGGCCGCCTCAACGTTTTACTGCCCGAATGAGTTGTTTATTACGACCGCCTCAAAAGTCGGCTATGAATTCCCATATAAACTGAGTGTGCTGTGCGCTTAACAGACCTTCTTTTTTTCTCTCCACGAAGCCAGCCTATACGCATATACAGCGAATATATCGCTCTGGTATTTAAATTCTTCGATACCACCCTATTTCGTCTGAGCAATGAAGCTTCACGTCAACAAGGACTTTTTCTTGTTAGACCCAAACTGACAAGTCCTGACACCAAGCCCTATAGTGAATAAATGCATGAAACTGAGATCATCCTGTAGTTGGACTATTGATGACAATAACGAGGGAAATGATATTATTCACAACATATACGTGATCTTGATCACATTCACACTGAATCTGTGAAATTACCACTTCTGGCTATTATTTAGCAATTAAGGAATCTTATAGGCATTCAATCTATATGATTTTTAATAAAAAATCCATGATTTTCACAAAAAATCACGTTGTACATGATTATGGAATAAGAAAAGAGAAGAAGAATAATTTTATACTGTGTGCTTGAAGGATGGTGAAGATGAATTGAGCAGTTCAAGTTTGTTATATATAGTAAGTTTTATCTGATTTCATTATTCTATTGAGGAACTTGAGAAATTTTGAAAATGTCATCTTCCTCCCAGCATCCACAGCACAGATTTCCACAAGAAAGTGGGATGAGCTCAACAATTTCAGGACAATCAATATCACCATTGACAATTGTAAGAGAATACCAGAGATCAACAGCCTTCAAATTCAGAACTTATTTTGAGAATAGCTGTATTCTGTTCACTTCCACGTTGATGGTACAATATCTGGAAAACTCATTCGGAAAACCCACCAAGACATCAACATCAACTTGATAGCATAATATTATGAAATTTCAGTCTGAACCAATCTGGGGCTACTGCCTCAGGCTCGGTGATATAAAGTTGTGATTCAAGAGTACCCCGAAATTCACAAATAAGTCATAGCAGATACTCAAATGATATGTTTTCGGGTTATGCACATTTTTCAAGAATTCCGGAAATTCCGGTATCAAGCAACTGAAACGGAATTCCGGAAATCTTGACAGATTGACCATGCAAATTTTGAGAAGTTCAGCTCTTTTCCAATTGTAGTATTATGAGCAGAAAAATATTTCCTCCATGCAACGTCAAATTATTTTTGTGAAATAAAAAATTAACTTCTCAATCTTCAGTGGTAATTCACTGAAAATACATCTGTCAATCGTCACTGAGCTAACTGGGCCAGCATCAGGTCGGCCAATATACATTCATAATGATTCATATCATACTAGCTTTAAATAAATATCAAAGATCGTTACATTTCAATAGAGCAGAATCGATGTGATCCAGTATTTAAAAATTACTACATATGATGAAGTTTCAAAAACCAAAAACATGCTTTAATGATCTGAAAGTTATCTCCCATCACGCAGTAATGAATTTGCGCCTTTCTATTGTTTTATAATTCCAATACTCTTCAAATTGACATACTTTTAACTTTCTGTTTATGATTGTTACGATGCGAATTGGTGGCGGGAAAACAAAAAGCATCAAATCCAATTCAGTTTTTCCTCCTCTTCACGATTCCTTCGATGAACTCTGTTAGTTATTACATACAGTGTGTTATTTTAATATTTCGAATAAATGTAAATTTTTCCTGAAGCCGAACCTGGATTTTCGCTCCGTCCGATAGGTAAATAAATTCAACGTCCCAAATTTAAGATCCATACCAAACTTGAGGAAAATATACCGGGTAGTTCAATACTTATAGACGAATGAATAATTATTCGAAATCGATAAATCGACCTGTATCTCCGTTACGAAGACTCTAAAACCTATCAAATATGGTATTTTCAGAACCACCTTGGTGACCCCTATGTACCACTGAAATATTTCACTTTACCTGTGGAGCACCCTGTATAACACGGGACAAATACCTATTTCAGGTAAAATTACTGGATTCTGCGAAAATCCAGTAAACATTCTGCATTATTTTACAGATGAAATACTGTTTTATTCCTCCTATTTTTATCAGTGTATATCTGAGATTAAAATTCCTTTTCCGTTCCAGGTGTGGTTCCAGAACAAGCGCTCGAAAGAACGCCGCCTCAAGCAACTCACCTCGATGGGCAGGGGCCCCTTCTTCGGGGGGTCCCGCAAGATGCGCGGGTTCCCCATGAACCTGTCTCCGGGCGGCCTCGAAGACGGTCCTCCCGGATTCCCCTATTTCGCGGACGGCAAGTTCGAGTTCGGGTACGGTGGCGGGCCGCCCTTCCATCCGCACGATGCGCCCTTCTTCCCCGGCCACCATCCGGGAGGCGGGCCAGGCGGGCAGGGCATGCCCTTCGGACAAGGAGGTATGTACACATTATCACATTCTCCTGACGTTTTATTGACGCTTTTTGACGTTTTCACGCGTGCATAACGTTGTTTTCGACGAAAGTGTTACGTTATACAGAGTTTTTTGGGACGTTTTTTCGACGTTACTGATGATTATATGGAAGAGAGACGCTTTCATAACATTTTTGTGACATTTTGTCGACGTTTATGATGTTTCTACACAAGCGTGACGCTTTCGGGACGTTTTTGTGACATTTTTCCGACGCTTTCCGATGTTTCTACACAAAAGTGACAATTTCTTGGCGTTTTCGTGACGTTTCTTCAACGTTTCCGTTGTTTCCATATGAGCGTGAAGCATTTTTTATAGTTTTTCGACGTTTTCTATGGTTCTACGAATGCGTGTTGCTTTCATGACGTTTTTGTGACATTTTTCTGCTGTTTTTATTTATACTTGACGTGTAAGTAGCATTTTTCTACGTATGCGTGATGCTATCGTGTTGTTTTTTGACGTTTCCGATGATTATACGCAAGCGTGTGACTTTCGTGTCGTTTTTATGACGTTCCTTCGATGTTTCCGATATTTCTACGCAAGCTTGACGCTTTCTTGGCGATTTTTTATGCTTTCCGACGTTTATACGCGAAAACAACGCTTTCGTAACGTTTTACGGACGATTTTCAACGTTTTGACGCAAACGTGATGTTTTTAGACGGTTTTCGACGATTTGGCGAATGCGTAAAGTTTTTTCTTAACGATCCAGTTGAATCCATTTTTATACGTTCCCAAATTCCAACTATAGCGCCTGAAATTCAGTCATCATAAACATCATAACGTTGTTTTTTTGGATGTGCGACGTTTTTCCGACCCTTCTTGACTTTTCTATGTTCCTACACGTTTTCGTGACTTTGGCGAGCTGGTATTTTTTAGTATATGGTGAAATGGTGATCGATTGGAATAAAAGTAATATAGCTCACTACTTACATGAATTTCAGGGATAGACACCGCGATTTATTCATGAATCACAAAAAATGTATAGATTCTTGAAATCGAAAATATCGCAGGAATCGTCATCAACTTCATTGAAATTTCGAAATTTTCAGGAGATCAACTCAAAAATGGAGAAATCATTCTGATTAATCGAATTGGTTCACCATATCATCATCTACAAATACCACTCTCATCCCAATCCATCCCTATCTCACCCATGCTGAATGTACATATTTTTCACGTGTTTTTTTGACATTTCTCGACGCTTTTCAACATTTCAACGCATACATGACGTTTTCATTGTGCTTTTTGATAACTTTGGTAAGTGCGTGACGTTCTCGTGACGTTTTTTAAACGTTTTTTCCACGTTTCGATGCAAGTGTCACGCTTTCTCAACGTTTTAGAAAGCTTGCGAGCTTGGAGCATTCCTACACGTTTTCGTGACTTTGGCGAGCTGGTATTTTTCAGTATATGGTGAAATAGTGATCGATTGGAATAAAAGTAATATAGCTCACTACTTACATGAATTTCAGGGATAGACACCGCGATATATTCATGAATCACAAAAAATGTATAGATTCTTCAAATCGGAAATATCGCAGGAATCGTCATCAACTCCATTGAAATTTCGACATTTTCAAGCGATCAACTCAAAAATGGAGAAATCATTCCGACTAATCGAATTGGTTCACCATATCATCATCTACAAATACCGCTCTCATACCAATCCATCCCTATCTCACCCATGCTGAATGTACATATTTTTCACGTGTTTTTTTGACATTTCTCGACGCTTTTCAACATTTCAACGCATACATGACGTTTTCATTGTGCTTTTTGATGACTTTGGTAAATGCGTGACGTTTTCGTTACGTTTTTTAAACGTTTTTTTCACGTTTCGATGCAAGTGTCACGCTTTCTCAACGTTTTAGAAAGCTTGCGAGCTTGGAGCACTCCTACACGTTTTCGTGACTTTGGCGAGCTGGTATTTTTCAGTATATAGTGAAATAGTGATCGATTGGAATAAAAGTGATATAGCTCACTACTTACATGAATTTCAGGGATAGACACCGCGATTTATTCATGAATCACAAAAAATGTATAGATTCTTGAAATCGGAAATAACGCAGGAATCGTCATCAACTTCATTGAGATTTCGAAATTTTCAAGAGATCAACTCAACTCCGATTAATCGAATTGGTTCACCATATCATCATCTACAAATGCCACTCTCATCCCAATCCATCCCTATCTCACCCATGCTGAATGTACATATTTTTCACGTGTTTTTTTGACATTTCTCGACGCTTTTCAACATTTCAACGCATACATGACGTTTTCATTGTGCTTTTTGATAACTTTGGTAAGTGCGTGACGTTCTCGTGACGTTTTTTAAACGTTTTTTCCACGTTTCGATGCAAGTGTCACGCTTTCTCAACGTTGTAGAAAGCTTGCGAGCTTGGAGCATTCCTACACGTTTTCGTGACTTTGGCGAGCTGGTATTTTTCAGTATATGGTGAAATAGTGATCGATTGGAATAAAAGTAATATAGCTCACTACTTACATGAATTTCAGGGATAGACACCGCGATATATTCATGAATCACAAAAAATGTATAGATTCTTCAAATCGGAAATATCGCAGGAATCGTCATCAACTCCATTGAAATTTCGACATTTTCAAGCGATCAACTCAAAAATGGAGAAATCATTCCGACTAATCGAATTGGTTCACCATATCATCATCTACAAATACCACTCTCATACCAATCCATCCCTATCTCACCCATGCTGAATGTACATATTTTTCACGTGTTTTTTTGACATTTCTCGACGCTTTTCAACATTTCAACGCATACATGACGTTTTCATTGTGCTTTTTGATAACTTTGGTAAGTGCGTGACGTTCTCGTGACGTTTTTTAAACGTTTTTTCCACGTTTCGATGCAAGTGTCACGCTTTCTCAACGTTTTAGAAAGCTTGCGAGCTTGGAGCATTCCTACACGTTTTCGTGACTTTGGCGAGCTGGTATTTTTCAGTATATAGTGAAATAGTGATCGATTGGAATAAAAGTGATATAGCTCACTACTTACATGAATTTCAGGGATAGACACCGCGATTTATTCATGAATCACAAAAAATGTATAGATTCTTGAAATCGGAAATAACGCAGGAATCGTCATCAACTTCATTGAGATTTCGAAATTTTCAAGAGATCAACTCAACTCCGATTAATCGAATTGGTTCACCATATCATCATCTACAAATGCCACTCTCATCCCAATCCATCCCTATCTCACCCATGCTGAATGTACATATTTTTCACGTGTTTTTTTGACATTTCTCGACGCTTTTCAACATTTCAACGCATACATGACGTTTTCATTGTGCTTTTTGATGACTTTGGTAAATGCGTGACGTTTTCGTTACGTTTTTTAAACGTTTTTTTCACGTTTCGATGCAAGTGTCACGCTTTCTCAACGTTTTAGAAAGCTTGCGAGCTTGGAGCATTCCTACACGTTTTCGTGACTTTGGCGAGCTGGTATTTTTCAGTATATAGTGAAATAGTGATCGATTGGAATAAAAGTGATATAGCTCACTACTTACATGAATTTCAGGGATAGACACCGCGATTTATTCATGAATCACAAAAAATGTATAGATTCTTGAAATCGGAAATAACGCAGGAATCGTCATCAACTTCATTGAGATTTCGAAATTTTCAAGAGATCAACTCAACTCCGATTAATCGAATTGGTTCACCATATCATCATCTACAAATGCCACTCTCATCCCAATCCATCCCTATCTCACCCATGCTGAATGTACATATTTTTCACGTGTTTTTTTGACATTTCTCGACGCTTTTCAACATTTCAACGCATACATGACGTTTTCATTGTGCTTTTCGATAACTTTGGTAAGTGCGTGACGTTCTCGTGACGTTTTTTAAACGTTTTTTCCACGTTTCGATGCAAGTGTCACGCTTTCTCAACGTTTTAGAAAGCTTGCGAGCTTGGAGCATTCCTACACGTTTTCGTGACTTTGGCGAGCTGGTATTTTTCAGTATATAGTGAAATAGTGATCGATTGGAATAAAAGTGATATAGCTCACTACTTACATGAATTTCAGGGATAGACACCGCGATTTATTCATGAATCACAAAAAATGTATAGATTCTTGAAATCGGAAATAACGCAGGAATCGTCATCAACTTCATTGAGATTTCGAAATTTTCAAGAGATCAACTCAACTCCGATTAATCGAATTGGTTCACCATATCATCATCTACAAATGCCACTCTCATCCCAATCCATCCCTATCTCACCCATGCTGAATGTACATATTTTTCACGTGTTTTTTTGACATTTCTCGACGCTTTTCAACATTTCAACGCATACATGACGTTTTCATTGTGCTTTTTGATAACTTTGGTAAGTGCGTGACGTTCTCGTGACGTTTTTTAAACGTTTTTTCCACGTTTCGATGCAAGTGTCACGCTTTCTCAACGTTGTAGAAAGCTTGCGAGCTTGGAGCATTCCTACACGTTTTCGTGACTTTGGCGAGCTGGTATTTTTCAGTATATGGTGAAATAGTGATCGATTGGAATAAAAGTAATATAGCTCACTACTTACATGAATTTCAGGGATAGACACCGCGATATATTCATGAATCACAAAAAATGTATAGATTCTTCAAATCGGAAATATCGCAGGAATCGTCATCAACTCCATTGAAATTTCGACATTTTCAAGCGATCAACTCAAAAATGGAGAAATCATTCCGACTAATCGAATTGGTTCACCATATCATCATCTACAAATACCACTCTCATACCAATCCATCCCTATCTCACCCATGCTGAATGTACATATTTTTCACGTGTTTTTTTGACATTTCTCGACGCTTTTCAACATTTCAACGCATACATGAC